CCCCAAAACCCCAAAACCCCAAAACCCCAAAACCCCAAAATAGATAGTGCTTATTGAAATCCCAAATCCGAACGTTCGTTTCCTTAGCCTTATAAATTACCGCATAAAGTTCCGACTGGGCTTGTCCAGAGAGAACTTCTGACGAAGGTACTGAGCACTCTGCTTTGAAAGAGTCGAAGGAGCCGCAATTGATTTTGGTGTCCTGTTTCTGAATTTGTACGACCTCAAATCTTTTGCAATATCCTGAGCATCTTGGCGCCTCCTTGGTATTCTGTGAATGAGGGTTAGATATGAAGCTTACACTTTGGCAATGTTTTGCTGGTATCTGATGAATTCAGGAGAAGGGCCTTGCATCGACATCCTCTTCCTTCTTTTAGCCCATCTCTTCTTTCAGGTTGAGTGAACGAACACTACTAAATATTATATGACAGGTACCGAAAGAGATAAATGTGTTGATTATGTTATTGAAGATCATTACCCAGAAGTATCCAAGTTCTTTTGAGCCATCCCAATGCTCCTCTATGTTATGAAAACCAAGAAGACTGTGAGACCAACGTGGAAGAACTCATTGATCAACTCCGTGATGTTGGGTCAGACTTTTTTGAATGGCCGGACTACTCAAAATCCAATGAAATATATTAGATTTACTGCTGAATAAAATGCGAGCAAAGTTGGTCTTGGCATCCATCTCAAGTCTATATGTTATACCATCATTTAAATATGATCAGGGTTCACAGAGTCGTTCTCCTTAGTAAGAAAATGAAGGGATACAACCTGGCCATCTTTCTATATTTGAGTCCTTTGAATAATTCCTTTCTAGAAAATTTAGACTTTTTGTTTGGCTTTGTACAAGCCCATGCTATGAGCACAAGTAAAATCAAGACTAGAAATCCCAAACTGAAGAAGACTCAGAAATAGAAGGAAACTCTCTCAGAGTTATTGAAGCCTGAGTTCCACCATTTTATTTCAGAGAGACATCATAAGGATATAGTCATGGATCCTTCAAAAAATATGTTAAAATAGAACTCGAATGTGAGCATCGTGTATACTTTTCTCACTTTTCTCATGCAACAAGATTGTTAGTCTTCTTTCCATCCAATGCAGCAGTAGATGATTATATGGATCAGAATAGCCAAGCCGATCAATAACAGAAGGCTAGAGAGGTTCAGCAAGGTGCTTCCAGAACTGATTCCAATCACAATGAAGTCTTCTCTGTCTTGGGGGCGGTCAATCTGATCAACTATTATTCTGATTCCTTCAATAGAGCTCCAGTCGATGCTAAAATTTATCAAAATAAATGACATGGACCGGAGATATTTAACCACTTTTAGAGGGATTGACACTTCTAAAAGAATCAGAAGGATAAGTAATTGGAGTTAGTTAAGAGAAGCCAAAACTGAATTAGATGAGCTTAGACTCATAAACCCTCCTGCTATGTTGAATGAAAAAGCGAGGAAAGCAGTGAATAGCATCGAACTTGGAGGATTCTATCGCTACTTGATAGGGGTACAGAATCGTAGTCTCGCTCACAAACAGTTGGGCTTCCTTTGTCTCACTTCCATCCAGAGTCCACAGAGGTTCAATCTTGAGATCATCCATCTCCTTTGTCTGGATTAGCATCGCCACAGGTTTTAGTTCCATTCGTAACTCCATCACCACACATTTGGCATTGATTGGTAGTCGAAGGAACTTGTTGGTAGCCCCAAAGCAGTTTATTGAGACTTGAATTGGAGATGTTCCAACATCATTGCTCTTAGAGAAGTTTTCTGATGGAATAGTAACAGTTGCATGTCCAAGGTCCCATCCAAGTTTGATCATTGCTTCTCACCAATAATCTCGAAATTTGACCTCTATGTCATAAGTTTTAAAGGCATGAAAATCGTATGTAACCTTGTCAGTTCCCCACCAGTAGGAGGGGAACCTGTCAATGATCTTGACTCCATTGATCGTTCTATAACATAGTGCGTTACTTACAAGGAAGCTTTATCGTCCTGAGTCAGAGATAACTCTGTGATACCTGATTTGAAGGGGGGTTAACTTCCCAGTAAACCTAGCAGTTATGTTATCTTGCCTTTGAGGAGTGATATACTCGTTCACACTCCAATAGTGGTCAAAGTTACTATATACTAAGAATTAGCAGTTACCTAGATGTATTGGTGACTTCTGGAGTTCCAGTTATAGTATCACTGTTATAGAACTCTCCTTTTATAGGATTTGAAACTACTTGGATCACTGAGAGAGTGGCATCTCCAAAATAATTCAGATCAAAGCTGGCAGTATATGTACCATCACCATTGTCAATCAACTTCTGAATTTTCTCTTATTCTTTAAATACGCTTTGTGTAGAAGCAGAAAGAACTCATGACATATTGGCACCCCGAGTGCAAGGATCTGACAAATAGATATAGATATTGTCTCCTCCTACAGCTAGATTGTTTTCGCTCGAATCCTTTGCTTGGACAGTTATTGTGTAAGTTTGGTTGATTACCAGAGTCTCTCCAAAGGAAACCCCAGAGATGGCACTCTGAGTCGGATCAAATCCTGAAACTAGACAAAAGTTGAACTATCTTTGCATGAATTTTGCATTCATTAAAATTTCTTAAATTATAAGCATACTTAAAGGAATTAGAACGATAATGGATTTTGACTAAATATCTTCCTATCAGAGCTAAGCAATTTTAGCAAGTTGCTATTTTATCAATTTCCAAGCATATTTCTGAAATATAGACCTGCTCTAATCTATCACAAAAATGTAGGTCCAGAACTAGGATTAATATTAAGTGTATTCACAGACTTTTGTTCACCATGAGCGTTATGAAATTTTGTTCTTACCTGTAACAATCTTAATGGTCACCAGTATGATGCTAAATAGTCTATGAAGTCATTAATCACTCAATTATAAGTATCGATTTAACAAAGACAAAGAGTTTGATAGGATTAAATTAGGTCAGTCCTATCAGGAGAGCGGGGTTGATCCAACCAGTAGAGTTTACTGCCAGTAGATTAAAAAAGAATTACCGTATCCATATTTTGTTGGATAACATGTTGTTATATTAATAATTTATTATCAGAAAGGAATAAAACATGAAGTCTTCTATCTGCCCGGTCAATAAAGTCTAATAGTACTCAATTATTTGTCCCAATTGAGCTTCCATCAGCAAATTAAAAAAAATCACTAGGACCAAATTTCTTTATTTAACCCTTAAAATGCCTCAAAAATGTTCTAAGCCCTCTCTAAACCTCAAAAATAGCCAATTTAGATTATTTCAATACAAAAATTACAAATTGGGGTTTTGGGGTTTTGGGGTTTTGGGG